GAATGAGTGCAGCTTATGCTGGCATAAATTTTGAAGTTTTGGGTCCCTTTGTCCCAAACCCTTCCAACTGACTTGCTGTGGATTCTCAAGAGTCTTCTAATGGGACTCAGAGCTTTCGTTTTTCAAGGATAGTTGAAGTATAGTACCCTGAAGTGTAAATAATCAAAAAAACTGACGTGAGGCAGAGAGTGAGACTCTGTCTCCTGTTTCCCTGGGATGGAGATTTGGAGCAGATAGTGGTATGGTCTGAGCTTAATCAATATAGATTGTAAATTACAGGTTATAAAATAATAATAAGTAGGATAATAGGATTATGAGAAGTGTCATAAAATAAATAATGTTAAGCTGTTTCTAAGATATAAAAATTGTTTTTCTGTACTTCATATGCCTACAAATGTGCTTGAACCCAGGATGTGGTTGTCTGTTTTTGCTCTGCTGACTGCTTTCTCAGCCTTCGTATCCTGCTGCTTGCCTGTACCTACATTTTTGAGGATGTGGTTTTTCCCCTTATAAATTCCACATAACTTGGATCCAGTGCTGTTCCTGGCAGAGACAATTTGTGTCCTGTAGGGGAGCAGTCACCAGCTGGCTTAAAAACAAAAACAAAACAAAACAAAAAACAAAAAACAAAACCTCTCTAATTTGGACAATATTCAGACTGAGAGTGTTTTCTGAGCGATCAGCCCACAACAAGAGCAGAGTCTGGCACCTTCTGAGCTTCCCTTGCCTCCTTGCTACCTGTGCTCAGGACCCGCCCTGCCTTAGACCCCAGAGGTTCTTTCACTAGGGATCCTGAGGCATCCTGACTCCATCTCTCCAGCCCTGGGGAACATTTGTGTCATTCTTCCCCAAATTAGTCCCTCACCTTGCAGCAGCATCACCAGCAGCAGCAGCAGCAGCAGCAGCAGCAGCAGCAGCACCAGCAGCAGCAGCAGCGGGATGGAGCATTTTCTTCTTTTCATCTCAGGAAATCTGCACAGGCTGGAAGCCAGGGCACCTTGTCCTGCCTCCTTCTCTCAACTGGATTTTCTGTCTTTCCCTCCTCAGCCCACAGTGGCTGTGGGATTTCTAGGTGTGGCTGCTGATGGCATCCAGGGCTCCTGGGTTTTCCTTTCTGCAGGGAGGAGCAACCTACTCTATGACTCTGCATCTCCCAAGGGAGGAAGGGTCCAATCCAGGAGAGAGGCAGGGCTAGGAGGAGAGAGATGCCTCAGGGCAGGTAGGTCCTTTGCCTGAGTCTAGAATTGAGCAGCAATGGGATCAAGTTTGTCACTGTGAGTGATATTACTTGCTAACACTTCTAGATCAAAACTGTTCTCCATAGGCTGGATGTGTCAGTGGTCAGAGAGGGCCTTGGTTCCTCTTGGTCAGAGAGGGTTGGTAAGGTCAGGGTGACCAAGGGGGCAGCCAGGCTGCTTGGGGGACCAGTGCCTGGCAAGGAGGGGAGTTAGATGTCCCAGGGTATAAGCACCTTGATTCTTAACAGAAAAGGAGGAATGTCTATGAGGGGACCCTAAACACCCAACCTCACCTTTAGAACTGGTTCTGAGGATTGAGCCTAGGGGCACTCTACCATTGAGCTACATCCCAGACTTTATTTATTTTTTATTTTATTTATTTATTTATTTATTTTACTTTTTAGTTGTAGTTGGACAGAATACTTTTATTTATTTATTTATTTACTTACTTTTATGTGTTGCTCAGAATCGAACCCAGGGCCTTGCAATGTGCTAGGCAATTGCTCTACAGCAGAGCCTCAACCCCAGTCCCCAATCCTTTTTAATTTTAATTTTTTTGACAGAATCTTGCTAATTGCTGAGACTGAGGACTTGGGAACCTCCTGCATTAGCCTCTCATGTAGTTGGGGTTACAGGCATGCTACAGCAAGCTCCACTTTACCCTTTTCAACTCTGGTAATTGGAGTGTTCTTGCTTGGATCTTGTCCCATTACAACTTACAAGGCTGTGTTGGCTTCCTGGTATGACAGGATGGACTGTAGCCTCCTTGGTGTGGTGTCACAAGCCTTGTAGTTAACCCTAGCCTCTCTCTATGGTGCTATGTAGTCCCACAAGTTTTCTGACCATTCACTGACCATGCCAGGCCCAGGCTTACACAAACTGTTGGCTTTGCCTCCTTGTAAATGCTACTAAATCTTCATAATCCACATGTTAATATCTATGTGAGCCAGCTCTGACTCCCTGGGCCAAGTTATACATTTCTTCCTGGGACAATTTAGTTGATTGGACTTCGTCATTGACCCACAGCTTATCTATCTACAAGTAGGTCTCTTTCACCCAGCCATGACCAGCAGGTTCATCCTTGTCTCCCCAACTCCTGGGGATCTTCTCATATGCTCTAGTATGGTGCATGAACAAATGAAGAAATGAGCGAGGAAGAGGATCATTATTTTAGGTAAAGGATTGGGGTCTGTTAAAGATGAAGAGGAGATAACTGATAGACTAGTTACTGCCTTCAAGGATATTTTTTTGAAAAACCTTTTGTGGGCTGGGGCGGTAGCTCAGTGATAGAGCGCTTGCCTAGCATGTGTGAGGCGCTGGATTCAATCCTCAGGACCACATAAAAATAACTAAATAAATTAAAGGTATTGTGTCCATCTACATCTAAAAATATTTTGCAGGGGCGGGCGAGAGGTACCAGAGATTGAAGTCAGAGATACTCAACCATTGGCCACATCCACAGCCCTTTTTTGTATTTTATTAGAGACAGGGTCTCATTGACCTCACTAAGTTGCTGAGGCTGGCTTTGAACTTGCAATCCTCTTGCCTTATTCTCTGGAGTTGCTGGGATTACAGGCATGAACCATTGCACCTGGCTACAACTAAAAATATTTTTTAAAAATAAAAAGCAGTATGGAGATTCCTTGGAAAACTGGGAACCACCATTTGATCCATCTATCCCTTTCCTTGGTTTATACCCAAAGGACTTAAAAACAGCATACCACAGGGACACAACCACATTAATGTTTATAGCAGCACAATTCACAATAGCTAAACTGTAGAACCAATCTAGATGCCTTTCAGTAGATGAATGGATAAAAAAATGTGGCATATATACAAAATGGAATATGACTCAGCAATAAAAGAGAATAAAATCATGGCATTTGCAGATAAATGGATGGCATTGGAGAATATAATGCTAGGTGAATTTAGCCAATCCCCCCCAAAACAAATGCCAAATGTTTTCTCTGATATAAGAAATGTGATTCATAGTGGGGTAGGGAGGGGGAGCATGGGAAGAATAGATAAATTAAGAATAGATAAGCAGAGGGATGGAGGGGAAGGGACGGGGGAGGGGGTTAGAAATATTGGTGGAATGTGATGAACAATATTATCCAAAATACATGTATGAAGACATGAATTGGTGTGAATATACTTTATATACAACCAGAGATGTAAAAAAATGTGCTCTATATGTGTGATATGAATTGTAATGCGTTCCACTGTCATATAAATATAATTAATATATATGTGTATGTGTGTATATATATATAATAAAATAAAAATTATATATATATATATATATAATAAAATAAAAATTTTATATATATATATATATATATAATAAAATAAAAATTTAAAAAAGTCTATTGTATAGCCAGGGTTGGAGAAGCATGTCTGTAATCCCAGCTACTTGGGAGGCTAAGGCAGGAGTATCTCAAGTTTGAGGCCAGCCTGGGCACTCAGTGAGATTCTATCTCAAAATAGGGGTTAGGCTCAGTGGCAGAGCACCCCTGGGTTCAATCCCTGGTACTATAAAAAAACAAAAAACAATAACAACCTGTTACATGATTTTAATTTTAACATAAAATAAATAGTGAAATGCAAAGACCTTAAGCATTCACTTAAATGATTTTTGACCGATTTCTTTCCTATGTAACTATCTAGCCAACTATAAAACACTTCTATCATCCAGGAAGACCACCTTTCCTAGAAATTCTCATCCTCTTAGGAGACCAGATCTGATCTCAGAGGCATAGGTTAGTTTTGCCTATTCTTAAATTTCCTACCAATGGAATTTCACCCCAGTGATACTCTCACTATGCAGCTGTTAAAAACTGTCCTGTTAACTCTGTGGTAAAATGTACCTGAAGAATCAGCTTTATTCTGGTAAAGACCCAGCCTGAGAACCTCCCAGATGGAAGACACTGGCAGGATTAAATCGATAAAACAAGCAAATGGTTGATTTGCAGCCAGAAGTGGGCAGAGGCATGTGTATGACCAGCCAATTGCCCAAGAAGCCAACCCGGCTGAGCCTTCAGCAAAAGCATAGTGCTGGCACATGGAGGGATAAGTGCTGTGCCCCTGCCTGAGGCCTGGTTGGCAGGGGCTTCTGAGAGCCTGGAGCCTGGCAGGGCCAGTCAGGCCTGCCCTTGCAGAAATTGGGAGTGGTTCTCCTGACCCAGGACATCTGCTCAGGGAGGGGAAGGTGGCACACACACTTGGCCTCCTATGACAACCTCTGCAGAGTGATGAGAGGAAATGTGGCCCTGCCTGGGCAGCCCCATGACAATCCTTTCTCTGCCTTGCAGAGTGCAGGGTCACTTTCCCCCTCTGCACATTCTAAGCGCACACAGATACTGTTTCCCACTGTGAGACACAAATTCCACATTCATGAAGCCCAGCACCTGCCTTCCCTGTCCTTCCTGGGGAATGGGAAGGAGTGGGGAAGAAAACAGGACCTAGGAGATCTCTGGACTTCATTCAAGGGATCTGAGAACTGGGAGTACACAGGGAAAGGGGGTCTCTCAGGTGTGGGAACCTGTCTGTCGTGATGTATAAACACCCACAGAGTCTGGCTCCCACAAATACTAGATGAATTTATTTAATAATCTGTTCACAGCTCTAGCCTCCCTTTTGCAGTCTGGGAAAACCAGAGAAAGGAGGCTGTTGGGGCCTGAAACAGAGCCAGGAGAAGAGCTTGGGCCTTGGTCTTCCTGGTCAGCTGCCTCCCTACCCCTCAGGATGGTGATGCTTCTGTCATTAGGGACATTCAGGGACACTGTGTCTCTCAGTAAGCTCCATGGTTTCAGGGGGATACTGGTTTCTGCAACCAGCTCCAGTCGCACTTGGCATGTTTTGGGCCCCGTGACAGCCTTGAGGGCGTGAACCAAGGTTGGGGCCATAGGGGTGGTAGAGGTCTGTGCTGAAGAGATTTCTTATGCATGGTGAGCTTTTCTGGAAAACAAAAGGAAGTGCTTCAAAGTCATGAGACTTCTCTTCCTGTCTCTCCAATCCCACCATCCCCCACACCCTGCCCAGCCCCCTCCATGTCCCTCTTTTGGCCCCTTCTTCCCCCCTTCAGTGTTCTCTCAGTATCTCCTGGCTTTTCTTATCCCCCATCTTCTAGTTCTAAGCTGCAGTTTATATACAACTGTCTCTTGATTTCTCATTCCCCATCTTCCCTACAATGACCCTTCTTTCTCTGCCCACTTCCTTCCCTCACTCTCTTGCACTTTCTCCTCAGGAAAAGGGGTTCCCACACTTCAGACACTCACAAGAAAGATGGCGACTCCAATGGAGAAAATCACAGCCATTGCAATGGAAGCCAGTGCGATTAGGGCAACTTCCCAGGGACTCAAGTGTCTGACCATGCTTCCCTCAGTCCCTGGAGAGGCAGTGCTCACAGTGGTGACATTGGAGGTTGTCACCACTGTGTTAGTCCCAGTGGAGCTGGATGATGTATTCATCTCAGGTATAGTTGATCCAGAGGAGATGGTTGTGGTTGGTCTACAGGATGTGGCTGTGGATGACTCAGAGTAGGTGGTTGTAGTTGGTCCAAGGGAGGTGACTGTGGATGACCCAGAGGAGATGGTTGTGGTTGGTCCAGAGGAGGTAGCTGTGGATGACCCAGAGGAGATGGTTGTGGTTGGTCCAGAGGAGGTAGCTGTGGATGACCCAGAGGAGGTGGCTGTGGGTGACCCAGAGGAGATGGTTGTGGTTGGTTCAGAGGAGGCAGCTGTGGGTGACCCAGAGGAGATGGTTGTGGTTGGTCCAGAGGAGGTAGCTGTGGATGACCAAGAGGAGGTGGCTGTGGGTGACCCAGAGGAGATGGTTGTAGTTCGTCCAGAGGAGGTGGCTGTGGATGAACCAGAAGAGGTGGTTGTGGTTGGTCCAGAGAAGGTGGCTGTTGTTGACTCAGAGGAGATGGTTGTGGATGGTCCAGGGGAGGTAGCGGTAGATAACTCAGAGGAGATGGTTGTGGTTGGTCCAGAGGAGGTGGCTGTGGATGACCTGGAGGAGATGGTTGTTGTTAGTCCAAAGGAGGTAGCTGTGGGTGATCCAGAGGAGGTGGTTATGGATGACCCAGAGGAGGTGGTTGTGGCTGGTCCAGAGGAGGTAGCTGTGGGTGACTCAGTGGAGATGGTTGTGCTTGTTCCAGAGGAGATAGCTGTGAATGACATGGAGGAAGTGGCTGTGGATGACACAGAGGAGATGGTTGTGGTTGGTCCTGAGGAGGTGGCTGTGGATGAACCAAGGGAGGTAGTTGTGATTGGTCCATAGGAGGTGGCTGTGGATGACCCAGAGGAGGAGATTATGGGTGACCCAGAGGAGATGGTTGTGGTTGGTCCAGAGGAGGTGGCTATGGGTGACCCAGAAGAGGAGGTTGTGGTTTGTCCAAAGGAGGTGGCTGTGGATGATCTAGAGGAGGTAGTTGTGCTTGGTCCAGAGGAGATGCCTGGGATAAACCAGAGGAGAGGGTTGTGGTTGATCCAGAGGAGATAGCTGTGGATGACCCAGAGGAGATGATTGTAGTTGGTCCAGAGGAGGTGGCTGTGGATGAACCAAGGGAAATAGTTGTGATTGGTGCAGAGGAGGTGGCTATGGATGACACAGAGGAGGTGGTGGTGGGTGACCCAGAGGAGGTGGTTGTGGTTGGTCCAGAGACAGTGACTGTGGGTAACCCAGAGGAGGTGGTTGTGGATGACCCAGAGGAGATGGTTGTGTTAGACCTCGGGAGCATGTTTGTTGTGCTGTCTGTGTAAGGTGTGGTTGCTATAGCTGATTAAGAAAGAATGCTGGTTAGTTCCATTGAAAATTTAGTTCAGTTCTGCCACTTACTTCTAGTATTATTGCTCATAACAATAGTAGTAATAGCTGCCATTTTTTAAGTGCTGGTTTTGTTCCAGGCTTTGTGCTAAATGCCTCCCACATATGAATTAGTGCCTCAAATCTTCACAATGCCTCCATGAGATAGGAATCGTTATTACCTACATTTTACAGATGGGGAAATTGAGGGTTAGAGAAAGAAAGCAACTGGTTCCAGGAAGTCTTTAGTAGGTAGTGAAACATGGATTTATACCAAGGTAATCTAACCCCTGAGCCATCCTTTAATCCATATGTTATTCCATATCCCAGGTGTGGGGAGTCAGTGACCTGGGATCACAGGGAGATTGTGTTATTCCTTCTCCACCTATTCATGATACCGTCCAAAGAACATAAGTGAAAAAGTTGAAGGGGCCACATGTGCCAATTAAGCTACTCTCCAAAAGGCATTGTTTTCTTCTAGGGAGGAAAATCAATTTGTAGGGGAAATTGGTTTTGTTTTGTTTTGTTTTTTTAATTATCCGGTAATACTCATACACTCAAAATTTGGGAGCCACCAGTTTAAGGGATCCCAGATGGTCTTAGCATAGAGTCTATAGAAAAACCAACCAGATGTAACTTGAAATAAGATCTTCTGGGATTCAGGGAAGGGGTTCAACTTCCTTGATTGGTCAGTCAGAGTCAAGGCGAGACCTGGACTCCTTTCTCTCTGTCTCATGTTAATATTTTCTACCCTCATTTTTCCATCCCAGGGACAACCAAGAGCTTGGCTTCCAGGATGTCTACACCCCCACTTCTCCACACACACATCACCAATGACCCTATCTTCTAGAATATTGGTATTCAGCCCCTCGCTCTCTGCATGTGTTCCTTTTTTGCTATTGTCTGGGTTAACATAAGGAAGCAAATTTAGGATCCCCAAACCTTGTGTTAATTGCTTCTAATTGGATTTAGGGTAAAGGTAAGGGTCAAGAGAGAAACAAAGTGAGAAATTGAGATGAAAAGTTGGCAAATGAAGGAGAAATTTATTTTTTTCTGTTCTTCAGAAGCATAAAACAAATAAGTTAAAGCCATAATGGTACAGATTCTAGAAGGAATTAAGAAGGAACAACATGGCTTATACAATGTGTAACTGGAGGCCAGAGATGCTGAAACTAGGTTCCTGTCTACTATGGGTGGTCAGGCACTAACTTTAAGATCCCTTACAACTCTTAATGCATTTTTATTTGGGATTGATTTATTATAGAGAGAATTGGTTAGATTTCTGGGCAGAAGAGTTGCTGCTGGGAACAAAACAGAGGGCAGAAGCTGTGTTGAATGGGAGAAAGCATAGCAAAAATAACAATTTTGACTTCTTCTCAAAGGAGAGCTTAAAAGGATAGATGTG